GTTGGTATGAAACAGTTCATTAACAAGAAGCCTGTGTGACTTGTGTGTGAATACATTTAAAGTGAATTTGGAAAGAGAAAGCTTAAGTCTTAAGCCACAGGTGTTGCATGAAGAAAGCTGTTTCATACTTCGTGGCATGTTTTATGCTGACGGCCGTACATCGTCTATTTCGTTTGTAGAGATTTTGCAAGTGAAGTGCTTCTGCAGAATTGACAAGGATACTCCAGACTGTAATTATATTCATTGTATGTATTCTGATTAATAAAATTGTTGCAAGAGCAGCAAGTAAGTTCCTAGTACATGATGGCTTTAACTGAGAAGAAAATCTGTTGAAGGTCTTATAACCTGTAAATTGCGACGTGTTTAATGGCGGCAGAAATATGGGACAGTTGGCGTGCCTGTTTCTCAAGTCTGTGTGGCTGCCATGTTGGTAGGCCTGTTATTGATGGTTGTGAAGTAAAAATTATGAAAGTTGGATAGTTTCTTGGACATTGATACGAAGTTTAATGAAAACCGGGCAGTTGTTTCCAACAATCGTGTGGGGGAGAGGGGGGAGATAGAGACGGGCATACGCACTCGCAAGAAATGCTACAAAGCTGTATAAGCTTTCGGTAGGAAAAGTAATCTAAAAGCTATCCGCTAGAATTAGGATTGAAGTTTAATAACAGAATAATATTACAATTTTTTCGTTTCCGTTACGAGATTGATGAAATGCCGTGATTGACATTTTGTGTGCCAAAGTCGACAGGTTTAACTACCCCCATCTTTCGCATCTTGCCATCTAGCGCTAATTCCGTTCGTTTCTACGTCATCTAAAGCGTATACCAGAGCCATCTGTCATGACTACCAGGAACTGAGTGCTCCGTACGAACCATATGTTGGTACCGGATATAAACTTGAAATCGTGAGTGAACGGAAATGCCGTCGGAGGTCACACGATTTAGACAACATGCCGGTAAGAAACTACATTTAAACATGGAGCAGGCTTTCATAATAATTAATACTTCTGTATTTGTGTGACGTAAATGATAAATGAATCAATTTATTTGTATCTAAATCTTTGGTTCAGTATTAGATATATTTTATGGTGCGTTTCGAAAAGGAATTTTCAACACCGTCATTTATTGGGCCACATTTGTCGGATTCCTATTTGCTCTGGTGGAGGCATAAGATGGAGTACGCATTCAGTAGGATTTGCTGTTTTCACGGCGGTGAGTACGAAGATGGCTGTCTTCTGGGTTGTAGTTCCTTATAGTCTGGTAGAATTTTACTAACTTTTCAGAGGTCAGCTTTTGTGTCGGACAAACTAGATGGATTGAACTGTGGCTTGTAGTAAAACAGCGCACCTGATACTGATTTTGTTCGAATGTCAACTGTCTCGCTCACTACGCTGCTGTACTATTCTGGGGTGTGGGTTCGTGTATCAGAACAGCAGAACAGTTACTAACAGGACACAGAATTATCTACTCGTCGTTCTGCCGCGTCCCTGCTACTGGGTGTTGCCTTGTTGTGGAGTCCGGTGAGGTTATAAAGCTGTCGAGATGTGCTCCCGACTCGCCTCCACGTATTTTCTAGGTTATGAATGCACGGAGCTATATCTCCAATCCCAACATGCACTGTGTGACCAGCAACTGTCATATTGAACGATAATAAACTGAAGCTGCGATGGAAAGGGATGGTTAACATTTTCGTTACAATTCTGCGGGATTGTTAAATGAATGGAAATTATAAATTTTTGGGTTTTTTTGTATTAGTTTGCCATGTTCTTGAATAGTTTTGATTTCTTGGTAGTGGGTTTGTATGTTTTTTTTAATATGAATACGCTCGTATCAAAGCTCTTTAAAACATATTTGTTAATGGAATTTTGCCAATTAATACGTGACTTAGACATCAATATTTCAGTGTTTTTTTTATTTGCCTAGACAAGAGTTAACTGAGAAACAGCTGCTATTTGTTAATAGGAGTGAAATATCACACAATCACAGCCTCAGTTAACAAACCTTTCAGTACTCCTCCATTTTGATCTGTCCTCTTACCCGAGAAGTTGTACTAATTTCTATGGCGTGATATGTCAATTTTCTTTGTGTCGTATAAAGATCTAAAATTTCCCGTCCAATAGATAGGTTCGTTTATCGAATTCAGACAAAACTCTAAATTCCCTGAACAAACACACGGAGTTCTGCCCTGTTAGAATTCGTTTTCAGTCCGTCCCGTGACACACCCCGTCTCTGTCTTCAGCCCAGGTGTAGGTTTACCTAATTCCGAGGGACATTAGTTGAAATAACTGTTGTGGCGACAGGAAACAGCCTAAGATAAGTGTAGGCGTGCACAAGGCAGTCTGTAATTAACTCAAATGGTTGTATTTACATTGCCCACGTCATGTTCTTGTTGCAGAACGTCCAGCTACTCGGCGGCAAACAATTTACCACCCACCCCCCCTCCAACCAGAAGGGCAATCTTCTGTTTGACCTCTGGATTATTATTGCATTCGCGTGTCTGTTGCGATGTTTCAAATGCACTGTGGACGGTTAGAACATAACATTCAATAACCCGAAAGTTTAACAGGATAACTCGCCACTGGACAATCTGCTACGCCACTGCAACCCGGCCCCCCCCATCCATCGTAACCAAGGTCATTGAGATTCGTTATCTTTACATTTAGTCCTTCGTCCAAATGGTCATTCTCCATCTGAGCTACGTGTTCAGCCCAAAGCAACATCCATGTCTGTACAAAGTATACTTCGTTATTTAACTTAATAACCTCCACTACTCACTTAAATCGTGTCTCAGCGAAGAGAGTAAAGGCTTTTTTCTCTCTCTCGCATGGCTCGAAATGTCAATTTTCTCTAAACGACACAGACAAATCAGAATTACATGAACCAAGACAATGAGAGCAGTTTCAGTTTAATCACGACTTCCGGCTTGCCAGTCGTCATGAAACTAAAACAGCTGAACAGACGGGCACGTAAACAGTTCCAATGCCAAGTTCTACGAAAATCCAGCTAGAGGGCGCAGAGTTGTTAGATGCGGGCAGGCAGCGATAAATCAGCTAATCGTGTAACGATGACGTCCACTGGTGAACAAGCCTTGATACTCTTTTTCTCACGGCTGGATGAAGCTCTCAGAGTGTTACAGGGTATCGCTGTGAGTTTATGGTGATATCAGGGTCCTTGTATGACAGCTCGTTTTTCTGTTTGTACGGATTTTGTACCCGGAACGTCGACATTGAACAGTGCCACATCGTTCAAGATTGATCTAACCGTACATTCTGTTGCGTTGTTTGTGATCGGCTGCTGGTTGGTCATGTGATAATCACGTGATTACTACGAGCGACCGTATTCGCTAGCGGACGGTTTTCACTTGAACTAACTCGATTTTTGAGGTTATTATTTACGGTAATTTCTACTTCAAAGTCCATACACACGTGTGTGTGGATTTACACAGACTTAGACGATTGAAATAATTACATGCCCCCCTGGTATGTACACATATTATTTATCTGAATGTGTACAATCCGAATTCTAGTGTTGGTTTATGAAATGCAGCTGAATCTCACCCAGTGGTGTGAGGTTACATCGAATTACAGCTTCATGTTGCTTACTGTGGAAAACGCACTCATCCTGCAATGAAGGAGCAGTCACAATTAGTTTCAATTCAGCAGATGGATCTCGGGGAACTATTTGCGCAACGGAGTTACGTGACATCATACTCAGCGAAACTTAACCCAGTTCTCGAATGTTCCGCAACGTTTCGAATTACAGAGTTTTTATTAGATGATAAAAAAAAAGTGATGATCTAATGTAAATCGAACATTTCGATAGAGAACATCATTTAATATATTTTAAATATTTAAATGTTAATTATAGTAATATTTTAATATTTAATAGAAATTTTATTGTGATTAGACTGACAAGATTTAAACAAAT